CTTGCTCGCGGCAGGACCCTGGGGTTCGGCTGTTCGGGGCTTGTTTCCCCAAGGAGCTCCATTAGAGGCGTGGGCATTTGTGCATCTGCAGCCAGCAACCCCGCGGTCCCGCTGGAACTGCTCTCCAGACCCAGCTGCGTGGAGTAGGAGGAGGTTGCAACAGCGTTCGGGTATTTATTTCCAGCACGGGCTTTCTAAAGGAATTGCAAAATGACGCTATCTGCTTCCATGGGCAGATGGACCAACGCCCCGCATCCTGTCAGCGTTTCCTCATCTAGCTCTGCGCTAAGAAAACAAACCGAAACAAAAAAAAACAAACAAAAATCCCCAAACACAGACCCCACCGTGTACTTTTACTTTCATTTACTGCTGCCCGGGCGGCCGAGTCACTTCCTCCATGCTCAGGAGCGGTGCATCCCCCTGAGAAAGAAATCGAGCAAAGGAAGCAGGAAACAGTGCAGAGGGGCTCTTCGCTTCAGCCCAGTGTTCGTTCCCCACCAGGCACCAGCCCTTCACCTCAAGGTAAAGGTGCTCCCACTGCTGGGTGCGGGATGTCCCCCCGCCCCATAAAATACTGCTTTTATTTCCTCCACCTGAGGCAGGTGCATTACTGCGCACTGCATTCAGCACGGGGCAACAGAGCACCCTCGGGGTGACGGCCACCCAGCCTTGGGCTGGAGGGGGGCACAGGGACAGGGGCAGCACCAGCCCCCTACCCCCAGCCCTTCGCTGGAGAAGCCAAGCCGAAACTTCACCGCAGCTCAATTAAAGCACCTCGGGTTCCCAGCATTCAGCAAATCCCACCTACAGCAACGAATTCCAAACTAGGTCTGCAGAAGCTGGGTGTCCTCTAACCAACAGGTGATTGCTTGCTTTGTACTACAGCTGAAAGAAACACGTCATTTATGGTTGATCAAAGAAACAGAGGCCTAAAGCGCTTGCAGTTCTTATATTATTTCAGAAACAGAAACCAGCAAAACCAATCACTGTCTTAGCAAAGCTGTTTCAGCTATGTCTTTGGCAATATTCAGTTAAACTGTTTAAGAAACTATGAATAGGAAACATATATAACAAAAAAAATAAAGCTTTGTCATTTAAATATTGCTTAGGCACCCAGATGCTTTTTCATTACAATCTTTGTTAAAGGACTAATAAACTAGGTGATAGGTAACAAACCCAGGTGTCCCACGGTGACAAAACAATCCTCACCCCTGAACACCCTGTAAGGACATCTGGCACAAAGACGTTCTTTTATTCCCACTCTTGCCTCAGGGCTTGTCCAGTTCTTACCCCAAACCCCCTGTCTAGTCAGGATGCTGAGCAACACTTGGAAGGGGCCGCCAAAGCATCCTTTAGTCTCTAGGGAATGTATCAAGAGATTAGAACCTGGGGGAAAAACAAAAAAGAAAACAAAAAAGCCCACCCACCAGGGATGGGACGAAAAACAGGGAAGGGAGCTAAAGCTGCGCTCCAGCCTCATCGGAATCAAAATTAACTTTTTCCTTTCCTGCGAGATGTCACTGGGTGACTCGCTGCCTGGCGGCCACAAAAAATGAAGTGCAGTGGGGGCTCCGAGGACAGACAAACCGCTCGCCAAGCAAGGGGGATGCTTCTCACGTCAGCAAGAAGTCGGAGGCCTCCACACTCAGGTGCACAGGGCAAGGGAGCTGCCATAAGCAGCAGCTGCTGCGTACGTCTAAGTGGCTCTTACTCTATCCAAGCCCGAGACAAAGACCACAGCAGTGGATTCACACACAGCTGAAAGAGGCAATTAGTGCAAAACGATTAGCTCTATTCTAAAGAAGGTTATTGTGTAATGGCAGCAATTCTGCCCAGGCATCATCTTTTCAGGGAGAACAAAATCTGCCACAGAATAAAATGCTGGAAGTTTTGTTGTGCCGGATGAAGAAGAGGAAGGGATGATCAGCGGTGAATTCTGGAACGATCAGCGCGCAGCGCAGCATCATCACCCCTGCCGTGGCCGCTGCCGCTTCAGTGCCTTCTTCGTTGACTTCCACAAAGGACTTGTGAACTACTTCAGAGAGCGCCAGCTCCCTGCCAGCTGAGATTCCCGAGAAGTCTGCCTTCGATAAGTCAAATGCATCTGGCATTCCCATGCTGCTCAGAAGAGGTTTCAGATCATAATCTTCTTCCAGTTTAAACCTGGGTAAAGACACCTTCACCTCTGTGCAGTCCATCATTTCAGGATTGATCCAATCTATCAGCTTCTCATACGTCAGTTCTCTTTCCAGCTGAAGAAAAGCCCAAAAGTTACATAATTAGAACTAGAAGAGAGTTAGTTTCTCACAGCCAAAAGTGGCAATTACTGTGTTTGTTTACACAGTGCACAACATGCATCTTTCTCCCACAGCTCAGACGGTCTCAAGCCCAAAATGCAAGTTACACTTCTCACTAGAGACTACGGCCCCAGCTGAGCTCAATCCCCTGTGTTTTTTTGGTAGACACAATAAGGATCAGTCCTTGACACAAAGTTTACTCTTATAAAACATGTTAGATTGGTTTTTTTTACATCTTTACATCTGGGAAGCAAAAGGTACAGCAGAACTGATGGCAAGGACCCAAAGGAACCAAACCCAGTTCTTCGGTCTCTTAACCACAGGATCCCCTCTCAGGTTGACAGGCCAATGAAAAAAGTCTGCTCACAATGCCCTTTGCAGTCAGCATCAGAAAGCTTTATGAACAAATTCCCTGTCCAGAGCATGAAATAGCCAGAACTTCTATCATATCTCCACAACGGAGGATATCCTGCGCTTTCCTGTGAGCCTGTTTCCAGGTGGTGGGCCAGAGAATCTGCCGGCTGCAGATCAGAAGCTCTATGGGACAAGCCACAGGAGTTCCTTGGAAGTCCCTCAAGTCCCCTCTTCACCACACCCACAGCTGACCTCTGCTCCTGAGGAGGGTCAGGCCTGCTTCCAGAGCCTCTGGCGCAGCAGGCAACACACAGCTAGACCAGGAGCTACACAAGGCATACCAGTCACTTCAGGGGCAGGGAGGCGTGGGACATTTTGGCTGGTGTTGAGCACCAATGACATAATAGCTTTGGAACTGAACTGCAGGGCTACACGCAACAAACTCTCCTCCCTGGAAGGATACAGACTGTCTTAGCACTTAGCTCACAAACTTACAGCTTCCAAGCCCGTGGATTCATCCTGGATTGCATTGGGGAGCAGGATGAGCATGCTGAGTTCATTACCGACATAAGGGAGCTCAAGGATTTGGGTCTTGAAGTCCCCAATATAGGTCATGTTAAATCTATCCTTTTTGAACATCATCTGCACAGGTTTGGTCTCTTTCTAAAAATAAAGAGATGTCAGCAGTTAGCACTGAGCCAATATGCTGGTCTCAAATACAAAGCAGGCATCCAGTTACTCAGGGCTTTTCAGAATTTGACTAAGAGAAGTAAAACACCACAAAGTGCAGCCCCACCACCACCTTTTGTAAAAGAGATAAGAAGTAAGGATCCCCGAGATCTAATTTTTAATCACTAATGTGGAAATGCCTGTGAAGTTTCCTTTAAGGCAAAGAGGGAAGGACATGTGTTTGCTCACTTAAGAGCTACTGGCAAGCACTAAACAGAGCTGGTAAGAAGCAGGGCCTGTGCTCCTTGCTTTAAATGAATACAAAATAATTTCTGTGTAAGTATTTTCATTTATTTGGTATTATATGATGCTATATTGGTAATACATTTATATGGTATTTTAGTCCATGTGGCTCCAAGTGCTATAACAAAGATGAATTAAAATATTTTAAAGTGATACTAAAAATGCCAAGAAAACAAGAGCATTATTTTGAATTCTTAAAAGTCACATGGATAGTAAAGGAGCGGCAAGAATCTTCTTCTCAATTTCGTTCACTATCTCCATCAGCTACTATTGTTTACATCATTATTTCCTCCTTTTCAGTTCAGTTTCATTGCTTTCTCCCTCACCTTCAAGAGATAACCATGCAACTAGTTTTTTGTTTTTAAAATAAAGCCCATTGAAAAAATGCCCACAGAGAATACAGCAGACATGACCTTGCAGCAGCGACACTTGAAAAGAATGTCTAAGGGAAGAAAATACCACGCAGCATGCGAAAATCATCCAGTGAGTCATAAGGTGTGCAAGAGTCACAGAAATAACGTCACAGGATGCTGGGAAGGCTCCTGGGATGTTAAAGTAACTCTTTGCTGCCAGACAGATTGTAAAATAACTATCTTCAAGCTTCAGATTACACCTGGGATTTCCAATTGCTCATTTGAGCCTATTCACAGGCTTCTGCAGCTCATCAGTGGCTAGTCATTAGTAGGATGAAAATGCAAACTTAAGCCCTTTTACAAAGAAAGAGAATTGCAGTTATTTGCATATCTAAATGTGAGTTCCTTGGGTGAGCCAGGGCAGCGTTCTCCAGTCTTACAACTTTCTCCAACAGTTATCTGGATCCTAAAGACTCTAGTCTTAAAATAATCATTGTCTGAGGAAGACTTCCATTCAGAAGTTTCTGCACATGCAGAAGTGCTCTTTGCTGCCTACAATCCAAAGGAACATTTCTTTCCTTATCTGCACCAGCTTTATGCTAAAGTAACCGAGTTCACTGGCTTCTGTGAAATTGTTCACGACTCCCAAACAGCCTGACAGCTTCACTTAATTGTTTTCTTCTCTTCAGTTCTAAGTGCTGTAACTATGCAGAGGGCTACCTCTCTCTAAGGGTAAAAGGAAAAAAGAGGCAGAATGAAAGAAATACTTAATTGTTATATCGAAGTTTCTAGTAATGATGTGAAACTTCACAGAAACCAGACAAGGAGAGTGTTCGTATTGAAGGGAGGAGGTATAAGGAATTTCATACAACCTACCCAAGGTAACTCTGCTTGAATGACTTTTGTTGTTGTTGTTCTTCAGAGTTAAATGTATTCCCTTCAGAGTACTGCAGAGTGTATTGTCAGCATTTTAGCACAACATACCTTGTTAATATGAAATGGCATTTCCACTGTGCTCTCTTTGTCAAACTGCGTTTCCCAGTTGCCTTTGAAATAGATGGCATTCACCAACACAAGTCTGGTCATTGAATCGAGAACCCCCTCAGCCAACAGGTTCCGAATTTTACCTTTACGATACACAGAAAAAAATCCCAATTGTTAACAGCTTATCTAGTTACCTAATATAGTATCTACGCCATAATTAATACACAATAGACAAGAGAATTACGTACCAAACAGAGCAAGAGCTCAGTGTTTGGGTTTTTTTTATTTCACAATATCGTATCTTGAAATAGCTGTTTAGCCAAGCCCTGGGTGTCACTAAATACAACAGGGTGTTCTGCAAAACACTCACCTTCAGTCTTTTCTTCTACCCAGCCATTTATTTGTTTTCTGGAATCCTCCCAAGCATGCATGAAGTCAGTCTGTTCTAGTCCAGCATGGTAGAATTTCTGACTTGACTCTATAAATGACTAACATGGACATTCAGACCAGCTTTTCAGCAATATATTTCACTCTCATTAAGCCACACGATTCTTAAATACACCAAGAAAATCTTCCCCTTCTCCTCCCCCAGCTTCATACAGAGCCGCTGAAGTTGTCTCACACATTCCTATTAGGTTTTACACCACCTGTTTGAACTAGGAATTGTCCACTGTATGTTAAGTCAAAGGGCTTGTTTACTATGCTAGAAAGTTCTACAAAACTTTACTGAGAAATGATGTGCCTCATTTTCGGTTGGAGTTTTTTGTGCTTCAGTGAGAGAACGTATGATTTTGTAAGCTTCTCTCTACATAAATTCATTGCTGAACCTCCCAGACTAATGTGAAACTTTCACTTTAGAGGGAAAACTGATTTTTCTTAGAGAGAGGAAAAAAACATACCTTCTCTCTGATTTAATATAGTTAGATCTTTATTAAACAGATGCAAAGTTTTACAGTAATTTTTATCTACTAGAGGAATGAAACACTAGCATTCTTCATTAAAAAGAGACTGTAAATCATTCGGGGGGGAAATGGTGCCTTAAGTCTTCTCAATTCTAGGCAAGCATCTCAAGGAACATGTAAAATGCAATACATATTATCCTTATTTAGATCTTCTGATAATAAAAACATCAAAAGTCATGTAATCCTCTCAGTACGTTCTCTGGATGACTTGCATAACAGAAAAACTACGAAATACTGCCCATGCTGAAGAGCAGTAACAATTCTTTTTTATCATATTTACAAATGATCAAGGGAAGAGATACGTCAACCACTTGTCCCACTGTCAAAAATATGAATGGATCATGGAATCCCAAAAAATTAGTGTATGATGGATTTTTATAGTTCTTTGCACCAGTTGTGCATTCAGCTCACAGGCTACCTAAAAGACTCTGGCATAACCTGTTGCACTGGTAGGTCTCAGCCTAGAAAATTTGGAAAGCAAAACACAAAGCCTTTGTCTGACTTCCAAAGCAAATACGTAGCAAGTACATTATACTAAAAACACCACGAATTTAATGGTTACTTACTGAGAGAAACTGAAATGTCTTTTCTCCATAAAGCCGGTTAGCAGTTCTCAGTATATATTTGGTGCCTGGATCGTTAATTTCAGAGAGAAGCGACTGATACCCACGGTGAGCATCCTCAGCTTTGTTCAGACAAAGCACCTGTAGAAAGACAAACACCCTCAGCACAGTCCATGCCTTCTCTAAACATACTTGCTTCAGCACAATTTTTATTTTTTTTTAAATTACTTTTGGTTTTTAAAACTGTGACTTGAAGCCAAAAGATTTTTCATCACACCTCCCATCTGGAGATTATCATGCAAGTCACATATGATGCACCCAGCCAGATGCTGCACAAGTAATAAACTAGGGTGCAGAAGAGTCAGCAGTATCTAGTTTCCTTCACTCAAGCCAAGCATTAGTGGATCACAGAATGGCTGAGGTTAGAAGGGACCTCTGGAGTCTGCTGGTACGACCCCCTTGCTCAAGCAGGGCCATCTACAGCCAGCAGCCCAGGACTATGTCCAGATAACTTTGGAATATCTCCAAAGATGGCAATAATACAATATAATTTTGGAGAAACTTTTATGGATTTAAATGAAAACAAAGCATGTTTATACTCCTCTTCCACTTTTTTGCAAAACAGGCAAACATAGTAATACAAATGACTTCGTACTGTCAATAGCATATGTAAAAAAATTTGCCAAGTGGTATCTGCCACCTGAGCAAGTTTTAAAAAAATTCAACCAAGATGCAGCTATCATTTTGTCATGCATGCAGGACAGATTTTTAATTATTTATTTTTTAATGTGCCTGGCTACATTTTCAAAACATGTACAGTCTGATATTAAACCCAAAGAAGACAGCACAAGAAAATATTCTATGTAGTTAGAGGCAATAACAACAAAAATATCCCAGGTGACTTAATGACTTCTTGAAGGAAGATCTCTGTCTCAACGCCCCCCCACAACAAAAACCAGCAACCTCTTAATTTCATACTGAAGGAAGCTCTTCCTACAAAACCAATAAAAACAGGTACTGCTTACATACACACCAAAGGAAGACCTCTGCTCTCTGAAACCAGAATAGCAACAGTTTAGCACAAGTGCAGGTCACAGACTACAATACAGATTCGTTGTTCATATGGTTCCATCAAATTCAGTACACTAAGTTTACTTAGACATACCTTTGCTATTTGGGCTTCGGTGTTTTCTTTTGAACCCAGCAAAACCATAGACAAAGCAGAAGAAATACTAAAAGGAGAAAAGAATAGATTCTGCCCGCTTTTGTTCTCAGACAGCTTTCTTAAGAGGTCAAGTGCAAAAGTGGTATTTGCTACACAGAGGCTATCCATGGTTCAGAGCCTGGGAGATAAAGCACAAAACAAGAACAGCTCAAATTTATTTGAAAACAAACAGCTAAGTCATTTCTCTCTTTTACATTTCCCAGGATGAACTGTACAGCAAATGTCATAATTAGGCTGGACAATTGTCAACTCATTGAAAACCTAATTCGGTGGAACAAGCACCTTGAATTCCATACCAGGTACTTGAGTTATTTTCTATTTCAGTCCCATACTTGCAACAGAGACAGCAATTCCCACTAGTGTCATTAGACTCTTCGCTGGGTAAGTAATATTACACCTTTTAAGATTATCATACATAACAGTATTTTGTTCAGGATTTATTAAAACAAGTTTCTTTTGACTTCACAAATAATTGCTTGCCTTTACAGAAAAATCAGAGCAAAAAATTAGGCATCAGAACGGCGTAACTATAAACTCTTACCTTCTCTAAGTATATACCTTCAGTATTACCTTCAGCTTACTTATATGTGCACACGCTGTGTTTTAATCCTAACAGCCTGTCCAGTAGAAGTCAGCTGAATGACTTGACCTACAAGATTAAAAAAGAAAAAAGTTATCTTTTAGTTACACATTAGTGTAATTTCCTGCTGCAGTATAAAGAAAAAAAAAACCAAACAAAGTCCATTTCAGTTCTGTTTTATTGCTTACAACACAGAAACACACAGTAAAAAAACCTGCTTATAGATAACTTTAGAGTATGACAGGCATCAAATTACACATGTTGAGGCGTGCACACAAAACTACTTACACAGCTGGTATATGAACTGAGATTAAACCACACACCTATAAAAGGAGCAATAAGTACTAGAATGCTGAGTTAACTACAGATAAGTATCACCAGCCATTGTAAGATATCAGCTGACAGCAAAGGCTTCTGTGTTTTTGGGGTTTTTTTTCCCCTTAAGGCACTGCCTAGTGTTGATATGGTGCTACAAAATACAAAACCAACACATTAATTCCTATTACTAATTGATTATCTCAAACAGGTGGAAAGAACAAGACGACCAGAATTCCCCTACTACACTGATACCCGACAGATTGATAGCAATAAGGGTTTTTGACCTGGAGGTCAAAATGCAGAGAAATAGTGACAGCAGCAAGCAGTGTTATCTAGAAAGTTTTTGTAGGGCTTCCATGACAAGCAAGGACTTACAGACAAAATCACACCATTTGCCTGGCCAAAAATTGGTGCGTTCAACCAAATTACAAGCAATATTTTAACAGGTGGGACACAAGGCTAGAAGTTGCACCTCTAGTTTTCCATGCTTCTTCTGCAGCTCAGGAAACAGTAACATAACTACTCGCACTCTTCTCACCCAAGCAGTTTTGGAGAGAATATAGAACCGCCAGACTTCCAGAAACAAAAAACATACAATACGAGCATTTGTCAGTCGTTTGTAAACTGCTTGCTGCAAACCCCTCAGTGACCAAAGGGTTTGCCCACAGCAACTCGTCTCTCACTCTGGTCTCCCCACGGGTTCTGCAGGTCAGTGGCAAGGTTCTTGTGAGGAGGCTCACGGATACCCTGACCCTGTGTATTCCCACCACTACGAATTTGAAGTCGGTATTCCCAGGGGTAGACATCTATGCTTTAGGAGAAACTTTACGGAGAGGAAGGCTCTATCTAGATTAAACAGCAGATACAAACGGCAGTCTCCCAACTACCAGTTTTGCCATGGCACCTGGCCAGAGCAGGGTGCAGCCAAGAGGCACATCCCACGACGACTACAACGTGAATTAGTTCCTGGGGTACGCAGATGCCCCCCCACCTCACCTCGGCTGCCCCGGAGGAGCCGCAAGCCACAGAATCATCACAGAATGGTCAGGGTTGGCAGGGACCTCTGTGGGTCACCCAGCCCAACCCCCTGCCCAAGCAGGGTCACCCACAGCAGGCTGCACAGGAGCTTGTCCAGGTGGGTCTGGAATATCTCCAGAGAAGGAGACTCCACAGCCTCCCTGGGCAGCCTGGGCCAGGGCTCCGTCACCCTCAGAGGGAAGAAGTTCTTCCTCATGTTCAGATGGAGCTTCCTCTGCTTCAGTTTGTGCCCGTTGCCCCTTGTCCTGTCACTGGGCACCACTGGAAAGAGTCTGGCCCTGTACTCCTGACCCCCACCCTGCAGATATTTAGAGGCATTTCGAAGGTCCCCTCGCAGCCTTCTCTTCTCCAGGCTGAACAAGCCCAGCTCCCTC